GTCTAAGTCAATTTTGATAATCCTTTTCATATGTGTTTTGAACGTTCTTACCATGCGTTCTACCTGGCCATTGGATTGCTGATGATAAGCAGATGTGAGCACATGTTTGATACCATAATCACTGCAAAATTATTCAAAATCACTACTTGTGAAGTTAGTGCCGTTATCGGTGACTATAGTTTCGGGTATTCCTTATAACGAAATAATTTTAAAAATTTCTTTTAAAATAACATCGGTCGTAATAATTTTAACAGGAACAATGATTGGAAACTTACTGTAAGCATCGACTATTATCAACCAATTTCTTGTGAAGAACGGACCCACATAGTCTATGTGTATTCTTTCAAATGGTTTGGTTGCCGAAACCCATGGTTTTTGTATCTTTTTAGGATTATCATGATATATGTTACAATCGTTGCAACTTTTCACTTCCATATCTATATCATTATTTATACCAGACCACCACATGTGATCTTTGGCTAAGGATTTGAACTTCCTGCTCCCAAGTGACCATCATTTAATGATTGTAGTACATTTTTTCTCATAGAAGACGGAATTATGATTTTGTTGCTTTTGTAAAGACAATCCTTAATTATACTTAATTCCAATTTAATGTTTTTATAGATATCATTCTTTATAGGCCTGTTGTTCTTAATATCATTTATGACTTGTTTTAATTCAATATCTTTCAAAGTTTCATCACGAATTTGATTGAAATTGATAGGTAAATCTTCATAGTCATTTATTATAGTATATTTTCAACAACTTCATCATGACATTCTTGTGGCAATCTCGAGAGGCAGACAGGAACAACATTGTATTTACCTGCTTTGTACTTTATGTTGAAATCGTAACCCCCCCCCCCCCCAAAGTGATATTCCACTTTTGTAACCTTAAGGACATGGTACTATTGTCCATGAGTCCCTTGGTAAAAATGTGGACTAGTGGTTTATGGTCCGTGATGATAGTAAATTTAGTCCCAACCAAATATTCTTGAAATCTTTTAATTGCGAACATTATGGCAAAAGCCTCACACTAAATATTGGTGTAATTTATTTCAGATTTTGCTAAGATTCTAGACGCAAAAGCAATAGGTTTTTCTTTGCCATCTTTCTCAGTGTGAAATAGTGCAGCCCCTGATCCAGATTTGGATGCATCAGTCGCAATCCCAATAGGTAATGGAGACTAATTAGCTTCTTTAAATCATAAAAACTTCTGGAATGTTCTAAGTTCCATTCCCATCTTTCTTTGTTGACCATTTTGTACAACGGATCAACAATATCAGCGAAGTTATTCAAAAATATTTTATAATAACCAGCCATTCCCAGAAACTGGCATATTAATTATTCTTCAATTTTTTCGTGATTAGCATGAATCCCCTTGGTGTCAATATCATGACTCAGGAACCTCACTTTGTTTTTAAAAAATAAACTTTTGGCGAAGTTAGGTACTAACCCGTACGATAATATTCTCTCAAACACCTTTTTGATGTTGTTTAAATGTGCTTCATCGTTATTTCCAGTTATTAATAACTAATAAGTCATCAATATAAAATATAACATCTTTCATATCACCGAAAATCTGATCCATGATTTGTTGGAATATAGCAGATGAAGTTTATTAAATCGATTAAAGTTTAAAAAACGATAATGAATTTTATTTGTAATTCTTTTGTATTATACATTTATATAATTGTCCAATTTAACTTCTAATAATATGCAATTTGATTAACCTCGATAATATAATATTACATGTCGGAAAGTTATAATATAATATACAAATAACGTCCTTTTAAAATATATAACGTGACCTTTTAAAATATATCTTACAATAATAAATATTCAAATGTAACATATCTTCTTTCCACCAAGTTAAGATCGTCTACCAATCTTTTTATTTACCAAGTTCAAGTTCATCTATTAATCTTTTTGTTGTCTTTAGTTCCCTTGTTGGATAACCCGTTTGCCTTCCTTTTTGACTTGGTTCAATTGTTATTATTGATTTGCTTACGTCTGGTTCTTCCCTTATTCGTAGTTGGTCGGGATGTTTTAATACGGTTTTGTACGTTTATTTTTTTTTCTTCTTTCCTTTTCCAGGATTGTGATGGCGATTCTAGTTTTTCGACCAATTGTTCCCACCATCGCTGTTTTATTTTCGCTTGTTATTTTATCATCATTTATCTGTAGATCTATAGCGATTTTTGCGATTCGTTGGTAGAATTATTCTCAATCGTAGTTCACCTGAAGTTTTATGTACCACTACCATTGGAGTACTCCAGGTTACTCTATATAGTTTGTCAATATATCATTATATTGTTGATCATATTAATTTCTACATATATTGGTAACGATAAGCCAAATTCTATAATCCCTGAAAATCCAAATAGGATGATTCTATAATCCCCGGAAATCCAAATAGGCTGTATCAATCATTTTGATAGTGCCCGTTATATCATAAATTCTATAATCCATGGAAATTAAATAGGCTGCATCAATCATTTTGATAGTGCCCTTTATCATTATCATAAATTCTTTAATCCATGGAAATCTAAATGGGCTGCATCAATCATTTTGATAGTGCCCTTTATCATTATCATAAATTCTATAATCCATGGAAATCTAAATAGGCTGCATCAATCATTTTGATAGTGCCCTTTATCATTATTATAAATTCTATAATCCATGGAAATCTAAATAGGCTGCATTAATCCTTTATCATAAATTCTATAATCCATAAATAGGCTGCATCGTGCCTTTATCATAAATTCTATAATTTTGTTTAAGTTTTAACGGTTGGTAGTATCTGGTTAGTAAACATAGTTCTCCGGCGATTAATTGATCGCGAATTTTTAGTTCTTTATTATGGATTCAGTAGGGCCGCGACTTAATGAAATCAATAGAAAATTTTGAAGATATTTTATGTGTCTATAGTGGTCAGTAGCCCATTTATCTCATTCATCTTTTATCCATAATTTCTAAATCAATTTATTTATATTTTTTAACAAAAAAAAATTATAATTCTATATAATATTTAACTTGACCGAAAACCGCGCGATTTTTTACCTCGTCGCCAAATATTAAATTGATTAAATAAAAAACGATAACGAATTTTATTTGTAATTCTTTTGTATATATACATTTATATAATTATCCAATTTAACTTCTAATAATATGCAATTTGATTAACCTCGATAATATAATATTACATGTCGGAAAGTTATAATATAATATAATATACAAATAACGTCCTTTTAAAATATATAACATGACCTTTTAAAATATATCTTACAATAATAAATATTCAAATGTAACAAAGTTTTCAACCCAAAAGGAAGTCTGGTAAATTGGTAGTATCCCTTATGTGTAGATATAGTCAAAAAATTTCTGCTATTTTTATCGATCGGAACTTGTAGAAAAGCATTTTTGAAATCGATTTTGGTAAATTTTTTTCTTCTGAAAGTTTAGCTATAAGATCATTTATACGTGGAAGTGGGCATCTAAAGTCTTCCATAGCTGGGTTTATAGTGTCTTTAAAATCTGCGCAAAGCCTGATGCTCCCATCATCTTTGTATACGGCGGTTATAGGACTCGCACGTCATTTACAGGCTCAATAATTTTTTCGTGTATCAATCTATTCAGTTCTTCGCCCACAAGGTCAATCTTTGAATACAGTATACGTCTTGGTGGTATTATTTTAGGTTGGGCGTCACATCTTAAATGTAATTTGACATTTAATTTGTTAATTGGTTCGCTAGTCAATTTGGATTCACAATCTTTAATAAGTTTATTGATTTCGTCTTCATAATTGGTCGACATTTCCTATGAAAATATTTTTAAAGTCATTGATCCAGATTCTTCCTAATAACGCGTTCTTTCTCGACTCTACAACTACTGCTAGTAAATATTTAGTGATTCCTTCATAACTTACTTTAACTTGAGTTGTCCCGATGATTTTAATCAAGTTTGCAAACTGGATTTCTTCATTTCTCTTATACCAATTTTTTTAGCCATATCATGAGGTATGATGGTATACTTTGATCCAGTGTCAACCTGCATAGTAGTAGTAACATTATTTAATTTTAAAGTAGTCATAAAAGCACTGTCATCACCTTTGTCTGTATTTTCAGCCAGATTGTTGACATTGAAATCATTCTCATTATTGTCTTTGGCAGTGCCAACCTTATTTCCCCCAACTTCTTCAATGTTCATATTACAATTATTTCTATCGTAGAATTTTGATTATCATACTGGATTTGTTTTCTTTGATTAAAATCCTTCCACCGATTACGATCGTAATATTCGATTTGTTTTCTTTGGTTATCCTTATTATGCCACTTGTTGTTTCCTTCATAATTATTTGAATTGTTGTTATAAGATCGGTAATTATTATGATTTTGATCGTCACATTGAATCTGCCTCCTCTGATTATAATTAAACCAGGCGTTGTTCCTACCATAGTTGTTGTTATAAGATTGATGATTATTATTATGAAAGTTTCTGTTGCTATTGTTATACCGATAAAATTTTGATAGTTACTATCATTATACTGATTATTTATTTCTATAGTTGTTATTATTATAATTGTTATTGTTTCTAACGTTACTGAAATACCTATTCCTGTTGTCGTTAACATTACTAAAATTGTTATCACCATAATTTCTATTCCTACTCAAAATTTTGCCTCGAATAATAATTAGGTCTATTATAGTTACTATTAATCTCATTCCTATTAGAAGTACTTTGGATATCTAAATTCTTATCATTATTTCTATTATTGTCATTATTTTTTAAAAATTTTTTATAACTACTAAAAACATAATTAACATTGTCACTTTCTGATTTAATGTTAATACTATCTAATTTTCTTCCTATTTCAATCATTTCATCTAATGTGTAGTTAATATTTTTATTTATTTTTTATATTGTCATTTACACTAGATGTTCTCAATTTTTCTTTTATGCGATCATCATTAATAAAATTACATTATCTACTTAATTTAGACAGTCTAAAAAACCAATCCAAAAAAGATTCATTAACACCTTGTGAAGCAAGGTTAAACTTCCGTCATATCCAAACATCTTGACTGGGTAATAAAAATTTTAATTTTTTAATAATAATTTTATAATCTTTGATTGTTTGAGAGAAATAATCGTCAAATCTCTCCAAATATATGTCCGTCAAGCATCCCTCTAACTTTGGAAACTTAACTTCCCTGTTGGAGGATATGCTAATTTTATCATCCATATTGTAGATTTTTATTTCCAAACTTCATTTAAATTAGCATAAAAATATATATTGTCACTATAAAGTCATGTAACTTTTTTTTTATCCAAATAGCAAATTTTTATTTTAAAACTTTATTTACATTAGCATAAAGATATATATTGTTGTAAATTCATATAAAAAGAATTTTTTTAACCTTGTGTGTGTCCTTTATATAAATAATTTTTATAATTTATTACATAATTCCAAAAAAAAAATTTTTATTTTTTATATTTATCGGCATATGCACAATATATATGAGATTTTTTTTATATATAATTGTGCGTGAGTTATCATACAAAGCGGGCACCATGTTATATAGAGATAAACGGTGGTGATAGAAATAACGGTGGTGATTTTTATTTATAAAAAATTTATTCTAAAATGATACTAAAAAATAAAAACAATTTAAGTTAAACAAAATTTAAAAAGTCAATCTCGATTAACAGCCTTAATGATTGTTCTTAATTTTGATAATTACTTTCTTGAGTATATCTTGTACTACTAAATTGAGTACGTTCGATATTATAATTTGAGAAAACTCTCCATATATATTTTAACCAGAATGTGAATCAGTAAATGGTGCTATATCTAATAACGATTACTTTATTTCCCATTTTACATCTATATAGTGGCAGGTCAACCCTAAAAATAGTACATTAGTAGGGCATGGCCATATGTTAGTGGTAAAGTTGATTTGGCACTTGAATCATTTATAATTATTTTAACTATTAAATTCTTTATTATAAATTTCATTCATATATAGTTTAATTGAGGGTATTGAACAAATTTTTACATTAAGATTTAAAGCTCTAACAAATTATTTAAATTCAGTTGTGGCAAGAATTTTAAATGATATATTTTACTTAGCAAAAATTTTAATAAATAATGTTTATCATCAATATTTGTTTTGGTTAAATTATTCAAATAGTTTTCTATTGTATCATTATTTTGAATCTTTTGATGAAATCTTTTTTTGTGATTAATTAGTGCAGAGGTGGTTTTTTTACACATTATTTCTACCTTACATATTTTACAATCTCTACCTTACATATTTTACATTTAGCAGTTTCTGTTTTATAATCATGTTAATGAATCCATATTAAAGGTTTTTTTAACCTTGCATTAACAGGTTCAGCTTCATCAGATATTGATTGAATGAATATAAATTTAGAACTAGTTGATGATTGGTTTTATTCATCATTGCCTCTTTCTCCATGATTTTCAAATTGATCTTTGAATATATTTAAAATTATATTAATTATAAAATCTATACCATCTTGAAATTTCAGACCAATCATACATTAGCAGCTGAAAGAAACAATATTTAAAATTTAAAACAACTTAAGAAACAGTAGAATTAAACCTTCAGAACATTAGTAATTCTTTTAAATAAATCCTTTCTTATTTTGACAATTTTATATTAATTTTATACATAAATTATAGTGATTTAAAATTGAATATAAAATTATTTAAGATGTAATATCATTTTATTAGAGGTGATTATGACAATGTAATAGTGAGGATGAAGATTTTGTATATGATAGTGATCGTGATACACAATCTGAAATAGATGAAGAATATGTTAGTTGAAACAGACAATAGACTTAAATATTATTTCGATAAATATGTGATAATCTATCATAGTATATTTCTCTTTAAAATCCCTTTTCCATAAGGTTCCTAAATGGAAAAGGGATTTTCCTAATCAAAGAATAATTTAGTTATTCATTTGCAGTAAAAGAAGCAGACACTCTAGAAAAAATTTTTGACTTGTTTATAAAAAAAATGATTGAAGAGATTATTTATCATACCAATGAAAAAATTAAATTATAAGTAAAAACTATACGGACAAATATGAAAGTTTTACTAAAGAAGTTGATGAAACAGAATTCAAGGCATTATTGGGAATTCTTTATTTAGCTAGAATTTCTAAATCTAACCATTAAAATAATATAATTATATTTATTATTTTGTTGGGGCATTTCCCTTTCCATTAAGCTTCTTATCAAAAAGTATAACTTATGATTTTATTTATGAATATATAAAAAATAGGAAATAAAATAAAGTAAAGCGAAATAATATCCACTAGGAAAATTTAATTACTTCTTTTTATTATTTAACAATTTACGAATATTAACGAAAAAATAAAATATTTACGAAAAATTACAAATATTTTATAAAGCAATAATTTCGAATAAAAAAAAGTTTACTATTCTACGAATATTTTTCCTCATTCGAATCGAATAATTATGCTATTCGTATTCGTAAAATACGAATCGAATTTCGAATAACAAATAGCCCTTTCGCTATTAATTTCTTGGCATTTCTTTTCGCCACCTTATAAATATCGTTATCACTATTTTCTTTACTATTATACCATTCTTTGAAACACCTCCCTTTCTCGTCGATTCGCTACCTCTGGATTCCACCATTATGTCTCCTTATATCTACGCCGCCCTTTTGTCCCTACATACCTCCTCAGTTGACCTTACCCAGGCTTTCTTCATGACTGCCCACTTGTAATTTACCACAGATGCTTGTGCCACCTCCGCCTTTCTTATCGCCAATGACATATTGAATTGACGTCTAGCACTCTCCTTCAATTTCCAAACCTTTAGCCTTGGCCTAACTTTCTTTTAGTGATCCTGGCGCCTTTAAAAGTGAGACCTCTTATAACTAGTCGGTGCTAATCAATATATTCTTCCCTCTGATATCGCTTTCACATTTTTTAGTATGCACTTATACACATCTCCTCACTTTTTTCACTTATTATGTTCGTTTCACGATGGTCCCACCAAGTTCCCATCTTTTTTTGTCGTAGGCGGATGAGGAGGCCCATGAGGTACTTTGGGCTGTACCTCACCCATGCTTTGTAATCATGAAATTTTATAGCAATGTTTTTACAATCGGATGCCATTCCTGACATCAACCCCTTTAAGTGGTTTTTACAGCTCGTTGAGGACGGTGATCCTATTCTAGACCCAGACCACAGAGAACCTTTAAGATTTCCATTAGGCGCCAAAAGACGTTGCCACTTACCCACCACGCCGAGGCTTAAGGTAGGATTTTGGAAGACCTTTTGTTAATAAATAAAAGAAAAAAGTTTTATTTTAGTAATTATATCATACGGATCAAGAACCTTTTTAAATGCACGCAGTATTTTTTTTGATTTTGAGTAGAATTAGATCGATTATATTACTATCTGAAGACTTTAAAATTAATAATATCCCACTGTCAATAATTTGCTCTTGGATGATATCAATAATTTGTCATGTGATTTATGGTGATTAGCCCCATACCCAAGAAGAATAATATTACCGATGATATATATTTTTTTTATATCCCCATGGACAACATGTTTCTTATTGGGATCTTTAAGGGCCGGGTTGGGAAATTTTAAAATAAAATCAAACGGCCGGGCGGGCGGGGAAAAATTTTTAGAATAATGGGCCTAGCAATTCGTCCACAAAAAAATTTCGGACCGGGCCCGACAATTTTCAAATAAAATATCAGGCACGACCTCATAAATCTCTAGCTCGGGCATTAAAATTTGATATATTTTTTTGAAGTTCAAGCTATTATTTTGATTAAAATATGCTAATTTCTTTGTATTTCAAGAGCTGTCTAACTAAAATACTAAATCTATAAATGATATAGTAAATTCTCAAAAATTAAACAATTTATTTATGTTTGGATCTAATTACAAAGGCACAATACAGATACCAAACACAATTGATTTATAGAACGGTTGTTGTGGAAATAGATAGCCATTGAGGAGAGATATAAGCGCCTTAATTGGCATTGGGAATAAATTTATAGATAATATAAATGTGATGACAGGAAAATTCGTACAAAAAATTTAGCGGGTCAGGCTTGTATTAAAATTCTTAACGGGCAAAGCTGGTGGGCTTTGAAGACCTCTATATCTTATACCCTATAATTGATAAAAATGTATAAATTAATAATGATAGTGTAAGTTATAACAGCGAAAGACATACAATTTATCGCCTCGGAAATTTTATAACTTTGTGTAAAACGGAATGCGATAAAAACAAATGATTTTTTTTTATAATGGTTAGTTAATAAAATAATTAAATAATATTTTAAATAGTGTCCAAATAATTAGCATAGCCGATTTTATGAGCTGCGGACTTGCAAATCGGATATAGGCTATATTCTAGTGTTAAACAGCCCAATTTGGGTCGATTTTTAAATACGATTAAAATTTTAGTCAAACTAACATTATGTAAGCCTGGAGATTTTGCTCATAGATGGCCTATGTTTTGACCTCTGCCAAATCTTAATACTTATATAATTTTATTTTGGCTAAAATCTTAATCGGGCCAATTTTAAAAATTGATACAAACTAGGCCGTTTAACAATAGTACTCTACACAATAGATTTTTTAAAGTATGTTATATTATAAGGACTTTTTAAAATAACTTAAAAAAATGACTTTAATATAACTTTAAGGAAACGGTAATTTGCTACCGATTTTTTAAATTAAACAGTTAAATATAAAGGTAATAGTCATTAACGGTTTTCAACCTAAAGAAATATTTTCTTAAATAAAATTTTAAAGGTTACACAATGATATACTATATATATATAATTTATGATTAGAATGAATATTTTTGAAAAAGTGAGATTTGATGATAACATGATTTGCATGATTTTCAACTTTAAAGGTTTATATTTGGATATGGTTAATCTAAAGCTCTGAAATTTAAATTTTATTAAAATTCACACCATAGATACCCATCAAGCAAGTTTCATTCATTTTGAAAAAATTAATAAAAACCTTTCATCCTAACTTTTAAAATGGGTAAATTGCAAACCTGGCAGTTGGAAAAAAAAATTAAAATTTTTTAAAAACAATTTTCATTTTAAACCGATTCCGAATTAGAATTGGTCTCTATCTAATCCGTTATCACCGATCGGATTTAGTCAGGTCTGAGAAATTAACTTTAGTTTACACACTCTCGTTAAATTTTAATACATTAGGATGATAGGAAAACGATCATATTTCGATTACGAAGATTATATATATTAGATAATTATATTTCTAATTTTTAAAAATATAATTATCGCCAAAAAGCTGCCATTAGCGCCGGCGAACCAGCCCTATAATAATTGAGATTTATTACCCAGTTGGAAAATCATATATTATATTTGCTTCTTATATTTTCATGCCTAAAAATAATCAGAATTTAAAAAATCCGGGTAGGGCCTAAAAATAAAAGACTCTAAAATATTTTTAATCTGGACCGGGCATAAATGTTTGATAGTTATAGTGTCTAATTTGGGCAGCTTGGTTATCACATTTATTTTAACTTGTTTAATATATAATATATATATATTTATTTTTACACAGAAATATGAACCTGGAAAATAATCCATCTAACTACGTTATAATCATAAATCGTGATGATCTTTAAACTTGCTAGTAAAATAAATATTTTTTTTACCAAGTTCCGCAATATTTTTGTTTTTTTTTAAATTATATGAACGTAGGATCTCATGCATGCAATTTTATATTACTAAATATAAAGTACATAACCTTTTATTTTCATTATATGTCTTGTTTTACTAAATGATTGTTTCTTAGGTTTTTACACAAACAAATTACCCGTTGTATACCATTTATATAAAAAAAATTGTAAAATGTCACTTGTTTTTATTTAACGTTAAATTATCCACCCCGAGGACAGAATCCGCTACCCCTAACGTCTTTCACAAGCATTTACTTTCCAACTAGCAAGAGAGAGGGGGGAGGGGCATTGTCATGTTAATTTTATGTATGAAATATATTAATACTATGTACAAATGAAATATATTAATGCTATGTATGAAATTTATTACTTGTGAATTCTTGTATTCTATGTGATTAAATTGTATTTTTATAAATAATAGAAGGTAAAAAAACAAAACATACGGGATTTTTTTTAATTTGTAAACTTTAATTTTAGTATTTATACTTATTTACAAAAAAAAATCCACAATGCATTTAAAAAAATTGTATTACGCGCAGCATCGAAAAGCTTAAGTTGGGTCAGTTGGTTCCAAGGATAAATATTTTTAAATGAAATTTTTATTCAGAATTAAATATTTTGTTGTTTTTTTATAGTCACTGCACATATATATGTGAAAACAAATATGGTATAAAAGAGCTAATTGTATCCTCTTTTACGGTAACTGATTTTTTTAAAAGTTAAAAGGAACATATTAATCATAAAATTGGATACTAAGATTAAAATGCTAAAAAAAACATTTTCAAATTTAATCTCATATTTATTTTTTTTAATTATTTTGTTGATTTTTATTTCATATGATGTTCATAAATTTTATATAATGTATTGTATATTATATAAACATAATATTTTTTTTATAAATAATGGTTATTTTTTTATGTTTGAATTATATCGTCCAAACAAATTGTATATTATTGCTAGGAGTCAAAATAAATTTCCTTTTTTAAAGTTTTTTTTTCTTTCAGACAAATCATTTATTTTAAGTCTTAGTTGATTGGCTATGTTTTTTTAAAATAAATTTTTTTTTTGTTTATCATCGTATCAGGGCCAATATTTATCATTTAAAAAAATCGGATCGGGCCGATATCTTGAAAAGATTTAATTCGATATTTGTTTTTTTTATGATTGTAAATATAATTATATAATATTTACTATTTGGTATGGATAAATGAATAAAAGAAAACATAATTCAATTTATTTGTAATGTTAAAAAAATTGAATTATTTTAAAAGAATGAGTAGCTAAAATTATATATTTAAAATAAATATTATTGCAACAAGAAAAGAAATTTTTTAACGAGTCACATTCAGCAAATCTGTACAAAAAGAATATATAATAAGATAAGATCTTTTTATAAAAAGAAATTTCATATATATAATTATAATATAAATAAAATTATACAAAATATAGGATAACATCTTTCTGTAACAATTTTTTATTTATTTTTAGCAATTGATTTTCAAAATTTTGATCAAACAAACAAGAGCGCTTAATGCTCAACATAGCTTTCGTCATGCTAAACACACGTTAGGCGCAGAGGATGGGAGAGTTGTATTATATTTAATAAATAAACATTTTAATTCGGGTAATTTATTAAAAATATTTAAAGAATTATCTTTATTTTGAAAAAACTTAATAGATTATCTTCACAAGGATCTTCATTTCCTCATCAAAAATTTTTTTTATCTATCAGAAAATATTCTGGTATGTGAGTTGGATAAAGGAATTAAGTCTGCTCTTTCTTTATCAAAATCTTTTCTCAAACTGGAAATAATTCTTCCTTTGTTGACTTACAATTTTATCCAGGGCCAATCTAATTTAAATAGCTGGTGAATTATTGTGGATAGTATATATTCATTTCTATAGATGTGTTTGAATCCATTCAAAATAAAAGATAATCAAAATATAAATTATAGCAATATTTGAACTATATTTTTTATCTATGCCTTCCAGGATTGAATTAATAAGCGGTTTACAAAATTTAAAATTATTTAAAGCCATTAATAGTTATCGTGGGAGTGTGATATCCAAAATGTATTATTTCTTTGCTCTCTAAAATTGAAAGACCCGTAGCAATCGGTTCCATAACCTGCAAAATCATTTATATACATATCATTTCTTAATTAATATTCATTCATGAACGACTTGTCGTTATCTGAAAATCTCTTTAATTCAGATTATCACAATTCGTCAAATTTTTGACAATTCTTCTTAATAAGACTATTTTTTTAATTGCACGTAGTTATAAGAGTTCCTTCATGTTTTGCTTAAAAATGGCTGCACAGTTTGAAGATTGCCCATGTTTATTCCACAAGCATATACTTAGAAAATGTAATTTTTGATATGGTTTTAAAATGGATATCGTTATCTGCCTTATCAATGTTAAGACTTGCAATGAGATTTAAAGTTTATGCTGAACAGGAATGATACAATACTATCATTAGTATTTTGATCAAATAATGACAGAGGAACTATTTTATCATCCGATTCCTCTACATGTTCATCTAATATTAATAAATATATTATAATTTTTTTACTTGAAAGCATTTAATATATTTCTAGCATTGTCGCTTTTGCATTTGGTCACTTTATTTTGTATCTTATATGTGGTAAAAATTTCAAAATTTATTTTTAGATAATCAAATGTGTATTTTTGGTTTAGCCTTTTACAGGCTAAGCAGGCTCAAGAATCTCTGGGTTTAGCTAGTGTACTGTACTGTAATCCCTAATATTATCAATCTATAAAATATATATTTTATATACCGATGATAAGCTGAGCAAGAATTCGTTGTACAGATAATTTTTGGGATACACAATATCCACTAATTTCTTTGACATGGTGTCATATGCTTTGTTAATTTTTAATACAAGGGTAAGCCTAGACATCACATTTTTAGTAGGCTGAAATTAATAATATTAATAAATGCAGTCCTTTTTACAATTGAAAATGGTTGTAATTCTTCAATTTCAAAATTAAAGTGCTATTTTTATCTTTGATGTAAATGAATTCGCATCTCAATGAGTGTGAGTTGATTGGCTTCAGTTTTTTTTATTACTATTTAAATGTTCATTAATTTCTTTCATTTTTGAGGAATGTACAGTCTATTATTTTTTAATAAAATATTAATTCCTAAATTTTTATTAAAAATAAGTTAGCTTTTTCAATAATTGAAGATAAATCTTTTAAAAATTTAATCTCATTTTTAATCCCTCACTAAGCTTATTGTCAAGGAAAACATTAAAAATTGAAATTATAATTGTCAAAGATAATTTTTTAATTTCTTATCTTTCAGAATTGTCATTTAAAAAAGAATCAGGAAAAATATCTAGGTTCATTTCTCTAAAACAATATTGTTTTATATATATTTATTTAAAAATATATTAATTTAATTTATTAACAATTTGAATTTAAACCTATAGCTATACTAAAGCAAGAAATATAAGATATTGTTTATACCCAGTATAATATTTTGAACCAATACCAATATTTTGTTAATCTTGAGTTTTTAATGTTGGTTCCCTAAATGCACCCACAGCTAATAGCACCTCTAATCATTATTAAAGCACACTAAAATGGTTTTTCAATTCTGTATTTCAACTCAAAAGCATCCTCTTGTTCCTCTTTCCATTCAAATATTTCTCCTTTCTTCAGTAATTGATATAATGGCGCTGCTACTTGAACAACTCCCTTCATAAACCGGTGATAATAGTTGACCAATCCCCAAAAGGATTGCTCTCATTTATTATTAGGTCTCAATACTGGTAATTCCTATCATATTTTTATCCAATGGTCTCACCTCTTTTTCCGTAATTTTCTGCCCAAGATATATCACCTCCGTCACCCTCAACACTATTCTCTGCACTCGCCCATAATTCCTTTTCTTTGATTCGCTGAAATATCTTCAATCTCCCTTCATGCAGTTCGGGAGTTATTCCCGTTACCAATACATCGTCCAAATTGTAGAATGCCCCCTCCATTCTCTGAAACACGGCCACAATTGTTCGCTGAAAAATAGGAGCTGAGACATTAAATCCAAATGGCAAACTACAAATTGCAAACAATCCCTTCGTGTAGTAACAACCTCCTTCACCCGCAGCTGCAGACATGCATTTGAGAAATCATCTTTTGAAAAATAAATAATTCCGTATTATATATTTTAAATATTAAGTCTATCATTCTTACATTCAATTTGATTGAATAAGGGGACTCTAAAATGGGTAAAAAATATAGGCGAAATTTTTTTATTCACAAGAATTTGAGGTAAAAAATTTTTTTCCTAATAATTAATATCGAAGCATTTCATATAAAACACATTATATTGTAAAAAATAGCCATTTAAAAAGTTAGATAAAAATTGAAATATATTGCAAAAATTATAAATTGGATAATAAATGACGTATTAGAATGCATAATTATATAGAAATAATTATATTATAATATGCATAAATCGGAATAGGTGAAAAAAACTACAATATTCGCCATAGCAAATCTTTTTTAATATTTTCAATAATTTCCACACAATTCGCTGATTGGGTATCGTTTGCAAAATACAGACCTGTGACCAGTGGGCCACTTATTAATATATTGAGTATTCCACTAAATGAGAGGAAACCCGTTAACATTTGTCATTAAAAACTAGAAATAGGTTTTATCAGACTTGATGACAAATTCTTTATAATAACATTCATAAAGTGAAAACAGTGCTCACATTCAACAGTATTACACGGAATCGTGACAATTTTGAAATGGGAACATTTATTATTCTTCTTCTTCTCCGTTTAAAGGCTAATTCCGGTTCACCCAGATTGGCCAGTTTTCCCTCTGATTTTTCTTTTACATTTTTGACGGTCCTCAGCATCAGTATTTTTAAGATTCATCTTTCTCTTATCCGCAGTCATCACCTTTATCCACGTCATCTTGGGCCTTCATCTAGATCTTGATCCTCCTACTTACATCAAGGTGCATCTCTTTACCCAGGCATCATTTGTCTTACGTTCCACATTTACAAACCATCTTACTCTATTTTTCCTCATTACCACTCCAATCATTTCAATGCATTCTTGCTCACAATTCCTTGTTAATTTTTCTCTCTCTCTCAGAGATACTCCACACATTCATATAATCCACCTCATTTTTGTTCTTTCCAATTTAGCTTCGTATGCCGCTTACATTGCCCATGTTTCGCCGTCATAAACTAAGCAACTCCTCACATAGCTTACATAAACTTTCCCCTTTAACTTCAGAGAGGCGTTATTATTTGTCAGAATAGACGACAACTCTCTGAACTTTTTCTATGCTTATCTGACCTTTGCTACAATAGCAGAATCTACGCCAATATCTACGCTTAGCATAGAACCTAAATAGCAAAACTCTTCAACTTTTCCCAGATTTAGCCCATTGTCAATATCCAAATCACCATTTTCTATCAGTATTATGTACCCCTCTTATGCACGTTCTACAACTATAGGTCATTCTTGCTAACATCAGATTTCCTTTTATCCCACTATATCTTTTATGCACCCATTTCTGGCATCCTTGGATTAAATCTCTAGCAACTCCTTTCCTATACACCATAATCCAGTTGCCGGATTCCTCCATTTTCAGATTATCTCTACCAATCATCATCTTTGTCTTTACTGCATTCATTTTCAGGCCCTTTGCTTCCATAGCCATCTTCCATCT